TTCGCGTGACCACCGCCACCAGTACCAGCGCCAACATTTGCGCGAACCACATTGCAACGCGTCGCACCAGTTACCACGACATGCCCTAATTTCCGAGAGTGCTCACTCACCACCAGTGCCAGCGGTGACTGTGCATTTTCCTATAACTTTGCCTCGTCCAATCATGTTGGCCTTGGTCTCGTTCGTCCGTAGCCAAGGTGGCTCAGGGTGGCCTCACTTGCCTTGCGGGCCATTGCTCAAGGGCAGAAAAAAACGCGTATACCCTGGTATACGAGGCGCTGTGCTCTGAAACTCCTGTGGGCTGACAGGGTAAACCCTGCGTGATGTGCCGCGCCCTGGCGGCTCTAGGCTTTGGGGCCCCCAGGGGGTTTACAGGCCACGCGCTTGTAATCTAGGGTAGGGTCGTTTTTTTTCATCCCTCGAAGTGCTTTCGTAGCATATGAGCAAACTTTCGAGGGTTGCTCTCGCATTGCGCACAGGCCTACTCAAGTTCCAAACTGCCGCTGCTGACCTCAACGGCGCGGCCCGGTCCAAGTCCGCGGCCAAGGCGTTGATCGAAGCGTTGTCGGCCGAGTTCGAGGTGCCAGACGGGAGGTCGAAGAAGCGGGCTCGAGATTCCGAGGCCTGGGCAAGCATGAGGAAGAAAGCCAATCATTGGAAAACCCAAGCGAGGCGCCACAGAAGTGAACTGAAATGTCTTGTCAGGGCCAAGCACGCTTGGAGGATATCGAATCTTTGGAGGGTGAAAATAGCCACGTGTCCCCTGAGCGTGCCATGCCAGACGTTTGAGAAATTCTCCCGTGACTTCCCAATCGCAGAAGTCCAGAACGTGTCAGCAACCTCGATTGCGATAACAAGGGATGCGTTTGCCCAGGTGCTGAAAAAAATCAATCACGATGTCCTTGCTGCGCAGTCCAAGGACGCAAGTCGCACCCTGAACCGCGATGGGCAGGAGACGTCTAATTTCGTCGTGGTGCACGTGCACGATGAGGCAGCTATGAAAGTGAAATATTTTGATTTCGACGGGGCTTTTCGGCCTGAGCTACAGAACAGAACTGTCGGGCGATACTCCAAGGTGCAAAATCAGGCGGTCTGCGTTGATTTTGGACAGGCGCGGGTGCCAGTGCTCACCGAGCTGATGGGCATGTCCGTCAAGGACGCGCCCACGATTGCAGAATGTCTAATCCAGGTGTTCGAGAGCATTGCCCGTGCCATCAAGGATGGGTGCCCGCGCGCCACCGTCCGCATCGTCCACGTCGTCATTGGCGATGCCGTTGCCACGAACGAGGCGGCTTGCAAACGGCTGTTTGCTTTCCTCCATGCTGCGGAGCGCCAGCTGGGGATCAGATATTCTTTGGTCGTGGTCAAATGCGCAGCTCATCAGGCAAACTTGGTTGTGCAGTGCGCCATATGTGGCCGATGTTTACAGGACCCGCTGAACTCAGACGCACTTTGCGCTGCCGCTTCCAGGGCGTTTAAGTATGTGATTCCGGAGCGCACGGAAGAAATGTCCGCGACCCTCCGGGCGTCCATATTGAGCCGAATGCACATGGCAGGGGACGGGACGGATGCCGCGTCGCAGGAGATGCGCCGGCGTTCGCTTCAATTGCAAGAGCTCTACGGCCACGGCGTCATACCACCATCGTTGCTGACGATTTTGAATCGAAGCGTCCTGGCTATGGAACATTGCTCCTCTGAGGAGGCGGATAAGGAAAGCGTGTGTGGTGACCTTTTTCAGATATTGCTTCCCCTGGTGCTCAAGATTCAATCGAAGCCTATAACGACACGTTTTTTCTTATTTGCGCCTGCTGTGTGGGCCCTCCTTTTGATGGATATGTTGGGGCTTGGCAGAGACTTGTTTCCAGAGCAGAAGGGGCGCCTTCGGACCCAGGGCGCGAACCGCATCAAGGCAATGCGGGCTTTTTTCTGCCATCCACAGACCTCCTCGGACCTGCGGAAAGCGTCGCTGTGTTTACAATTGAGCCACCACGCTGTCAGCATGGCAAGCCAGAGCAAGCCGAAGGTGGACGACCCAAGACCACACTTCGTGAGGATTGCGCAAGGAGACATCCAAAAACACACGGGGGAACATCTGAGGCGATTGTTGCCCTTACTGTGCGTGGACGAGAAGCTCGTTGTTCCCGCATGTTTGACGGCTTTGCTTGTGACGCAAGCGCACATTGTCATGCGGTTTGATATGTATGGGCGCTTTCCAGGGAAGTTGTGGATGATGTCTCGGCGGCACAATCCCATGGGCTACTCCCGAAAGTGCGAGGAATTCTTGCAGGTGCCCGACGACGACTTAGACTTGGGCTACTCTCTGGCGTTGAAGCGGGAGGCCTGGCGCTGCAGGAGCCTCAGCGACGCAGCGATGTGGTTGATGGCAGATGAAGTGCAGGAGGAAATCGACAAAGTGCTCGGTTCCATGTTGGCCAATAGTCTTGACGCGGAACGAAAGATTCATCAGGACAGGGCGCCAGACCATGCGAAGGCGAGGTCGTTGGCGGTAGCATCGCGGAATCAGCTGCTCCACCAGTACCATGTCGAGAGGGAGCGTTTCCTGGCCTGCAGGATGCGGGCGGCCAAACAGGCGTCTTCGTTGAAGAGATGCAATATCTGGTCGCTGGCTCGGCAGAGATGGCCGCACTTAGTCCCTCGGCCAAGGGGCTGTCGTTACGGTGATGATCCGCTGCGGAATGGTGTTCTTTCTTCGACTCTTGTGCACGAGGGCGATAAGGATGCGTTGCGGTCACAAGTCGAGGCGCACACAGCCGACCTGGAAGCGGAAGTCGCAGCTCGACAGGGTGAGGCTGCCCGCTTGGCCCGGCTGGCCAACGCGGCGCACGTTCCTGTGACGCAGCGGGACTGGCTCGAGTGGCTAGACACGAACGACGTTTTTTTTAGGCACTGTCTTCGAGAAGCCCCCGTGGAGAGGCAGCAGTTTAGCCGCAGAGTGACGCCGAGGGAGGGCCTCACGGCCGTTGCCCGCCTGGGACCGAAGATTACGAAGGAACCGCCGCTGTGGGAGCGCAAAATCGCTCACCTACCATCTGGGTATGCGATGCTGCTATGGCAGCGCGGCGCCTCGGAACACAAGGTGTTGTGCTTCTTCTGCTGTCTAAACGGAGAGTGCCGGTACCTGCCATTGCTGAATTCCCGCCCAGGGTGCAATGAGTATTTCCTCCCTGCCCACACCGACTACGTCGCTGGCTTCCTCGGCGCCGCCTGCTTGGCGAAGACGCGCAACGTGCCCCACGACGATGTTGCCGTTCGGGTGTACACGTGCGGGATCGACGCGAAGGTCGCTCCGGATGGCATGGCCATCAAGTGCGTGGCGCCCCTGCTGGAGCACCGCGCCCCCGCGGTTGTCCCGCGCGCGCAGGCAGACGCCGGCGCGGCCGACGCGGGCGACGCAGCAGTGGGCGACGGCTCGGATTGCGAGAGCCTGCTGCTCAAGATGGAGGGAGGGGCAGAGGAGGAGGCCGAGGAACTCGTGCACGACTTAGACGAGCAGGGTGCGGACGACGACGGTGACGACAAAGAGGGCGCCGACGGCGGCTCTCCTTCAGACAGGGCGTTCCCTGGGACTTGGACGCTGTTCAACAACGGCTGCTTCGCGCTGTCAGAGAACCCGGTGAAGTACGGGGATATGAAGATGAGCGTTTTGAAGCGGTGGCACGGCGAGGACTTCATGGGGAAACGTATGCAGAGATCGAAAGCGGCCACGCTCAAACACCACGGCGATGACGCCCTTGCCAGGGACAGGACCGCGCTGGTCCTTCGCGCTTGGATGTTGTACAGGGTCCAGGTTGACAAGTTTGCCGAGTCCAGCCCTGCCAGAGCCACCTTCTTCTTCAACGAGCTTGAGAAACTGAAGGCCGACCTGCGGAGGATGGAGGTGCCTGGTGGCGGAACGGGGAACGAGGAGGCAGACGGCAAGATCCGGAAATGGGCCCCCTTGGCAATGACTTAGCAGCGAGGGCTGCGGTTTGGCCTGTAGGCGGGGCTCTCCGAACGTAGACGCGTGGGCGCCCGGAGGAAAACAAGGGCGTGGGGGAAGGGCCTGGGGGCCTCCTTCTGACGCAAGATCGACGCAGGATCGACGCAGAATCGACACAACATCGACGGATCGAGACAATTTCGACTCAAAGTCGACAAATCGACTCAACATCGACACAGCGTCGACTCAAAATCGACGCATCGACACAGGATCGACACAGGATCGACACAGGATCGACACAGAATCGACACAAGATCGACACAGGATCGACGCACAATCGACACAGGATCGACACAGGATCGACGCAACCACAGAATCGACGCAGGATCGACACAGGATCGACGCAACCACGGAGTGTCGACGCAAGATCGACACAGGATCGACACAGGATCGACGCAGGATCGACGCAGGATCGACGCAGGACCGACGCAGGATCGACGCAGACTCGGCGCAGGAACGACGCAGGATCGACGCACCAACGGGGTGTCGACGCAAAATCGACACAGGGTCGACACAGGATCGACTTAGGATCGTCACAGTATCGGGCGCTAGTCTCGAGTATCTAGATGCCCGAACTCGGTATGCTACCAGAACTGGGTTCCAACAAATATCTGTACTCTGCCATGTTTTAAGAGATTCTGATGGCCTTCATGAGGTAACTCGGGCTGCTGATAAGCTACAAAGCTGTATGGTGGAGCTGTCGACAGGAACTAAATCACCAGAAGCGCTAGTCTCAAGTATCTAGATGCCCGATCTCGGTCTGCCTCCTGAGTTGCAACGCGGGATCGACACAGGATCGACGCAGGATCGTCGCACCTGCAGGCGGGCCTACATCCGACGTCGTCATTTGTTCAAAACGTCGGCCCCTGGAGGTCTGGAGGCCTTCCCTGGGACCGAATTTTCGTACTGAGTCCTTTCTTTTTGACGGTCCCAGGGCCCTGTGAGGGCCCCCAAAGGCCGATAATGACGAACAGCCTCCCGTCATGATGTTTTCACGACGCCAGGATGTGTGGCGTGGTGGGTAACACGCTGCCGCGTTTTGCGTCTCAAGCCAGAGACTTTCGAAGCCTGAGATTATCGCTCGATCTTGCGCCACCGGCCGCCATGGTGAATGAGGGACCGCCGACCCCGGAGGCGGTCAATGCAGCGATGGAGGATGTGCCCACCACGGGCCCCCTGGCGAGCAGCTACCGGCGCACCTTGCGGGAGATGAAAAAGAAAGGCGCGGATGTGGACCCCGATGGCCCTGTGCATTTCAAGCTCTGCGGGGCCTTGAAGAAGCTGGGGCTCACCAAAATTGACATGCGCACGTTCAGAGAGTGGGCCGACAGAGTGACGCAGTTCGTCAAAGAAGAACGGGAGGTGTGGCTGGTGCAGAAAGAGGCTTTCCCGGATGTGGGGAAGGACAAAAAAGTCAGCTTCTGGCTTCTCGGACCCAGCGAGGCCCAGGGGGTCGACCACGACAGGGTGTGGGTGTTGGATGCTCACGCCCCCACCGGGCCGTACATGCGCGGGGCCATCAGGCGCACGATCGGTTGGAAAGCTACAAAGGACAGGGGCTCGAAGAAACCGCGCCTCGAGGATGGCGACACCCATGCTTCGGGGCAGAGCTGCGGCGCCGAAGTCGCCGCAGGGTCCGGCCCAGCGGCGGCCCCGCAGGGCATGGCACCGGCCCCGGCGGCTCTGGCAGCGGCTTCGTCGGGCATGGCGCCGGGGGGGGCGGAGGCGGCGCCCGAGCGGAAGCGGAGGAAGACTCTGGCCGAGCACGTCAGCAGCGAGGACAACGACGACGTGTCCATCAAGACCCTCCGGTTGGACTGCCAGAAGGCTTGCGAGGCCGGCCGCTTCTACGTGCCAGGAGAGACGGACACGGCCCATTTCCGGGCGAAGATGTACGTTGGCTACTTGAAAAAACAGAAGGCCGAGCACATGAAGAGGGATTCGGAGAAATCGTTTGCTGATGAGCTGTCCGTTGAGTCAAGGTATTTCTTTCAATACCTCGCCGATTGGATCTTGAAGGGGAAGACGCACGAGGTGATCGGCCACTTCGCGCCGCTCTTCCGCGAGGCCAAGGAGCTGCACCCCGCCCTGGTCCCGAAGATTGCGCAGGCGATCTGCAGCATCGGCGAAGTGGACCTCCTGGGGCAGTTTTCGGGCTCAGAGAGCGAGCTCGAGAAGTACGGCCTTCCGCCGAAGCACATCTCTGCCCTTGCTGGGAGCCCGTTCCTGGCTGGCTTCCGGAAGGCCCGGTTCGAGGCGCAATTCGCCCTGGCGAAGACAGCCAGCTCGTGGCGCGGCGCGGCGCCGGGCCCGGCTGCGGAGCAGCCCGGCGGCGAGCAGCCAGGTTCTGCACGAGCGAAGTGGGCGCGGAAAGAATTGGTACAATTCCCAACAGCGGATTTGGTTCATTTTGAACAGGACTCGCTGTCCACGCCGCCGCGGCCTGCGTTCTTTCGAGAAAGAATGCCGCCTGCCCAACAGCGGCCGCTGTTGGTTTGGACAACATTTGTTGTTGGGCATTGTGCCCGTCCTTTCCGCGCCCAATTCGGGCGCCCGCGCAGGCGGCGAGCAGCCGGGCGGCGAGCAACCCGACGGCGAGCAGCCCGGCGGCGTGCAGCCCGGCGGCGAGCAGCCAGGCGGCGAGCAGCCAGGCGGCGAGCGGCCCGGCGGCGAGCAGCCAGGCGGCGAGCAGCCAGGCGGCGAGCAACCAGGCTCTAGGCCTCCTAGGTGGTCGGACTAGACGGGGGCGAAGGAGCGCGCCGCATCGCCGATGCATCGCCGATGCGGCTCGATGTGGAGCCCGACATGCTTCGCGTCGACGTCGCCGATTCATCGCTGACGTCGACGACGCATCGCTGGCGCATCGCCGACGCATCGCCGATGCATCGCCGATGCGTCGGCGATGTGTCGTCGATGCGCCGCCACCCTCCGACCCCACCTACTCCGACCCCATCTAGGAGGCCTCTACAGGCGGCGAGCAGCCAGGCGGCGAGAGCGACGGCTCGGCCGCTTTGCAGGCGGGCAACGCGGACAGCAGGGCCAGGCTGGAGCTGATCATCTCGCTGCTCGGCAACGCGCAGGCGGACGAGCAGCAGAAGAAGGAGCTGGAGTTCGCGAAGGCCATGATGACGAATTCGCCCGGGCCCAGGCTGGCGCATCTCATGAAAATGGCCCTGGACGAGTTCAGTTTGCTCGAGGCGTGGTTCCCCGGGGACCCGGACCAGGTGGTTGGGTTGCTGCTAAAAGGCGTTCGGTACAAGGATTGCGCAATCCAGAACGTGGTCAACGCCATCCAGCACGTGGTCAAGGGCGGCGCGCAGGAATCGTTGGTGAATCCCGTGGTTCGTGGTTTGGGGGCTCTGTACGTCCGCCTGAACGAGCTCCAAGCGAAGGAGCCCAAGGACATGGTGGAGCCAGAGATGGGGCCCCTGGACAACCACGAGGGCCGGGATCGATCCCAGGAGCAGCGCTCGAAGTTCATGGCAAGCATTTTCGCGGAGGTGGCCTCCCTCCGGCTCGGCGCTGTTGGCTTCACCAGCAAGGCGCGGGATTACACGGGCATCCCGTCGAAGATGTTGCAGGAGGTGCACGCCATGGCGAGCTCCGCGGTGCCGCTCGTCACGCCTGACATGCCGGCCCACGCGCTCATGTGGTGTCACCGCCGGGTGGTCGAGGAGCTGGGGGCCAAGAAGAAGTTGCAGCAGGAGCTGGCCAACGAGACGGCGGGCGAGCCCCAGACCCCCTCGAGTAATGAAAAAATCACGACGGGAGGTTTTTCACAATTTTTGGCCTTTGGGGGCCCTTACCGGCCCTCGGGACCGCCAAAAAACGACTCAGGACGAAATGCCGGTCCCAGGGAATGGGTCGAGACCTCGGGGGGTCGACGTCATGAAAAAATCATGACGTCGGGGGTCTGGGGCCGAAGCAGGGGGCGACCGAGGCGGCGAAGCCAGACGGGGCGCCGGCGACGGGCGGCCCGGGCGTTGATCGGCGGCGCGCTGGGGTGGGGTGGGGGAAGGGGGGAGCTTCTGAGAAGGCGCGGTGCTTCTTTGAAACCTTTCGAGTGCTTAGGGCTCCCCAGAAACACCCTGCCTTCTAAGAAGCCCCCCCCCCCCTTCCCCCCACCCCCCTCCGCGCGCCGCCGAGTTGAGGCGCATGCGCCCCGGTCGGGCGCGACCGGGGGCGGCGCGACAGCTGACAGGGCGGCGGCAGTCGCGCAGCCAGCGGTCGCCCCGAAGAAACACCAGACGGAGCCGGAGGTCATTGCTGTGGGCGACATCGTGATGATCACGAAGTCCCCGAAGGAGCCTCTGTTGTGGCTGAACAAGAAGGCGCGCGTGGTGGAGCTCATCCCGGGCCAGGGCCAGGCGAGCATCCTCATGCTGGAGGGGAAGAAGAAGGACGAGAAGACGACGAGGCTGATTGATAATCTGAAAAAGGTGGCCGCGGAGACCCCGGCAGCGGGAGGCGGCGGGGCCGGCGCTGCCGAGGCGGGCGCGTCCGAACCGTTTGCCGACGCAGCTTCCGAGGCGACGGCGGTGTTCGGCGCGGAGCCGCCTTTCGGAGTGGACGGGGAGTCCTGAGCGAGGATTCTGGGCGGCGCGCCGAGGAGTGCATTGGGGGGGGGGGCGGCGTCTCAGAAGGCAGGGTGCTATTTAAAAACCGGGAAGCCCTGCCTTGTAGGAAGCATTCTGCCTTTTCAGAAGCCCCCCCCCTCCCCCTACCTTGTCGGCGCGCCGCCGAAAATAGAGGATTGCGCATTGGCCCCTGGTGCGCGAGGTAGCGCTGGCGCCTATGGCGCGCCAGCAGTCCCGTGGCCTCGAGAGCGGGCGCCCCGTGGCAGTGTTCGCAGCGGATGTGCGGCGCAAAGGATCTCGGCTTGAGCTGTGCTTGGCGCGGTTGCCCCGCAGAAAAAACACCGAGGCCGGCGGGGTCCGGCGGGCGATGGCGGAATGAATTCAGGCGGCGGCCGGCGGAAGCAAGCTCGTGTTCCGATCAACCGGAAGCCAGCGGAAGTAATTGAAATCATATCCAGCGGCTGTCTTCACGACAGCCGTTTTTGGCAGCCGCGGGGCAGCTGCCCTCCCCGCCGAGAATTTTCTGGGGGTCGCTTCCGTTGGCGGGCGACTTGGCTGTCGGTGGGCATAGTTCGTCCCCCAGAGTTTCGTCCGCGTTCGCAATGCAGCTTTGACGTTGTACCATCCTGGGGGCGTGAGGGAAGGTGGGCACTCCTGGGGTCAACTGGTGCGACGAACCATCCTGGGGGCCATAATTTCGGGCATGCTCGCAGGACAGAGGCCTCGACGAGGCCAAGGGGCGCCCCATTCGGCACCCGCGGTGCGGCGGCGGAGATGAAGTCGATGGGCCGAGGATCATTCCCCAAACAATGCTTGCATTCTAAATAAGTTGGATCGGCCAATCTACACCACGTTGCTTACACAGCGTAGCTTGCACCACGTGCGCCGCGCAGTTTGCGCCACGTAGTTAGCTTGCGCCACGTGGATTGCGCCGTGTAATTCAAACAGCGTAGCTTACACCGCATAACGTTGGTAACTTCTTTTGGGGGGACACACTGGCCGCCAACATGCCGTATCCAATATGCTGAAACCACCGCCGCCCCGGCCAGGGCAATCCTGGGCCGAGCACTTCGGTTCGCTCGGTTGGACCCGTGTCAAAGGCGATGTAGCACAGGTGGACGTTCTTGTTGGTGATGTCGATGGTCGCGACACACATCCTCCTTCTGATTCGCCGACCTGCTGATTCACGCCAACGTTGTTGGAACGTTCATCGTGACGTTCGTCGGGCGGGACGTCATGCACCCCCGCGCCCCTTTCCATGGCTCGGCGTGGGGGCGGAAAGCCTTCCAAAGCCAGCTGCTGGCCCCATGCGTGTGGCCGCGCAGCCACGGCCACGGCCGCGGCCCCGGCCGCGGCCACGGCCACGCAGGCACCTCGCAAATGCCTTTTCCAGGGCTGGCCGCAGGCACCTCCCCAGTGCCTTTCCTGGGCAGCCCGCAGGCACTGCACAAGTGCCTTGCCCAGGCGCCCGCAGGCACCTCCAAAGTGCCTTTCCTGGGTCGTTCATTGCGCGGGAGCTCCCATTTTCTCGGTCACGTGCTATTTGCTTTGCTTACATTAATCACGCCGCTGGCGTGCATTGGGTGCAGACACACAAATGCCACGCCTGCAGCCACATGAGGACTTCGAATACCTGCTGCTTCGGAACCCCTTGGCGGGGCAATGGTATCGACATTCATTTCGCACCAAGATCTGTTCTGAGGACGTGGCAAGCTTGCATCTAAGACGACTACGGCGAACTACCGTCGCCCCCTGCCTTTTAGAAACGATGGTGTGGCCGAGCGTTGCGGCCCGAGTTCGGCCAAGCTATCGGGCCGTGCGTTCCCCTGGCCGTTGTGGAAGCCCTCCGGGGAACACTTGGGAGAGGAAGGGGACCGTCGAAAGGCAGAGCAAGAGGAAACCCCCACAATTTTCAACACATATGAAATAACTGTTGGTTTTCGTTTTTTTTTTGGGGGGGGGTTATCCTGGAGAGCGTCTGTGGCCGTTCGGGGCCCACCTCGGGCCGTCATGGAGGCGTCTTGAGCTATCTCGGTATCTCTTGGGGGCGCTCTGGGCGTTTTGGAGGCGCCTTGGGTCCTTCAGTGGGGCCATATTGGCAGTATTGGAGGCCGCCTGGGACTGCCTTGGGGCTCTCTTGGTGTTTTCTTGGGGCCGCTCTTGGGCCGTCCTGGGGCCATTTTGGAGGCCTCTCGGGCGTTTTTGAGGCAATCTGTCTAGATGGCCTCTGGGGCTGTCTTGGGCCGTCGGGGAGTATCGCAAAGTATGCGAACCCCCAAATCGTTGAACAATAGTGCGCCAGGGGGTGGCGTGAGGGGGGCAGCCGTCTAAGAAGGCAGGGGGTATCTACGAAGGCAGGTGTTTTTCGAAACTGGCAGGGTTTTAGGAAGGCTTCTGAGAAGCCTCGGGACATTTGTGAGAAGGGCGGTGCCTTTTATGAAGTCTTTGGCTTTTCAAGAAGGCCATCCCCGCCCGCCACCCCCTCGGCGCGCCACCGAATATATAGGAAAGGGCGCGACTGGCATCGCAACCTGTCGGGAGCGAAAGGGCGCGGAACGCTCTCGTTCGAAAGTTCGAGGACCTACCCGCGCCGAGCTCGCGGGACGCCGCCGATTCGGGTTCGACGCAGCGTCGACGGACGTTCGACACAGCATCGACGCACGAGGGCGGCGACTGGCTGTGGGAAGGTCCCCAGAACGAGCATGTAACAATAGCGCATATAGTTCTATGGCGCAATAGCCCATAGAACCTATATAGCTCCATAGGCCCTTATAGCCCTATGGCGCCTTAAAACCCTACAGCCCTATAGCCCCATAGCCCCATAACCCTATAGCCCCATAGTCCCATAGCCTTGTATCTCTATGGCCGAATAACCCTAGAGCCCTACAGCCTCATCGCCCATAGCCTTATAGCCTATAGCCCTATAGCCTGCAGCCCAATAGCCCTGTAGTCACAGCCCTAATAGCCCTATAGCCCTACAACCCTATAGCCCTAGAGCCCTAGAGCCCTCCCGCTCCATCGTCTCTCCCGCCCCCCATCGTCGTCTCTCCCGCCCCCCATCGTCTCTCCCGCCCCCCATCGTCTTTCCTGCCCCCCATCGTCTCTCCCGCTCTCCATCGTCTCTCCCGCCCCCCATCTTCTCTCCCGCCCCCCATCGTCTCTCCCGCACCCCATAAGAACAATGGGAGCAAGACGAGCAAGGATACCAACAAAAAGATCAAATCTCGACTTCTTGGTCGGGTTTGCAATGTCAATGCGCACCATCACCACCGTCGCCACAATTACCGTTGTCTTTTCACCGCAGTAACTTTCAAGTTCAGACCGATCTCAACGAGCTCTTCCGAGTTTCATTTTCGCGTTATCCTGGGTCCGCTCCGTTGGACAAGATATTCCATACATGATGGCGATGCGCATTCTGCTTGGTGTGGCATTTGCTATCACTTCGACGCTTGAGCCTAAATTTTCGGCATGGTCGCTGAGGTGTAGATGCAATCATATGGTTACCCACCTCTCGCCTCTCACGGATGCTGTTCGCCCGGTTCGCCGGGCTTCGTCTCGCCGGGCTTCGTTTCGCCGGGGTCGCTTTCGCCAGGTTTCGTCTCGCTGGGCTTCGTTCTCGGGGATGCGCATGTAGCCAGTTGCGAGTCCCGTTGTTGAGTTGCGAGTCCCGTTGTTCCAGTTGCAAGTCACATTGTTCAGTTGCGAGTCCCGTTGCCCTTCGTCGGAAAACGTATATTTCAATAATCGTCTCCGTTATTTCTTGCTCTTCGACTTGGGCCGGGTTCCCAATCTTCGCCATATCAAATGGGCGTGCAATCGGAACAACGAGAAAAGCAAAGCAATTGTAATAATGGCATTATCATACAACTCCAGGTGGACTCCGCAGGCTCTCGAATGGGTGGAGATATTGTTCCTTACTAATATTTCCGCAAAATTGGCGCGCATGCCAACTATGAAAATTACGCCGCATTGCATACGGGATTGATACACTTATGAGCACTGACACACTGGTTGGGGACGGTTTCTGGGACCCGGACAGGGTGGGCATAAATAAAACATTTGGAGGTGGATTGCATTCAGGTCTCGAGTTTTTTCATCTTGCTACCTCGTTTATTTTTCCACTTCACCTCCCGTGGAGAGGACATGTGAGCGCGCAAGCTGAAAAACCCTATTGGTATATATGACCGGAGGAAGTGGGGCGTGGTCAGGTTGGAAATCAGCGAAATTTTGTAAATCTTCAGCTTTGTCGGTCGGAGGCGTGGGTAACGGAGTTGTGCTGAAGTTTCTGGTTTTTTAAAGGCAAATCCAAGAGAAGTCAAATTTCGAGCAGCATAGTACGATACTACAAATTGTATCCAGAAGATTGAAGGACATTGGGTTACTATGTGATGGAGCGGAAAACATTCTTGAAACGAAGATTCAATATGGGGTTGTGCTTGCTTAAAGGATCTCGTTGTTAACGGCATTCACAAAGCCAATCAACGAAATCAAAGGTATTGCCGCAGTTGACGCATTACGATATTTACTGTCCGCAACATTAGCAAACCAAGTACAAAATATATTCCGAGAAATGGTGGAACCCTATAATTCTGGAAGTGCAGACTGCAATGGGATTGTTGCAGCGGTGCATTTGTCATAATACAAATGTATGGCTTCATAAAATATGATATCAACGGTGTCCGAACGTTTGATCACATATGTCGCGCCCGCATGTTTGAACAATTCATGGCGGTATTCGGTCTTAGGGATCTAGGCTTATTCGTTCAGCAGTGGTAGGAAGAACGGGCAAAATTCAACTGGGTTACAATATTGCAATGCGATGGTGGGATTAAAAGGATGTGTTTGTACCAACGCTCTTCTATTGGCCCTCCATCGAATAATAGTTAAATTAATACCGTGCCAAGTTGCCGCCGCGCTGAACTTTTAGAATATTTAGATGATTTTTTATGTGGCATGCGATCCAAACGATACAACAACAATATTGCATGACGTACGAAACGTGTGCACCATATCGACGTGCATGTGGGCAAATTGGCCGTGGGTGCATCACCTTGGACCTTGCCCCCCTGACTGGGCCGAATTGGCACCTGACGCTTGGAAATTTGATGCACCGCCCCTGGAGCGAGATACACAAATTTTGGGAAACTATTTGGTAGTGAAAAATACGTTCAAGCATTTGGTGAAACAATTGTTGATACTTCTTTTCTAATTCGATACGTCGGTTACATAAGCAATCTTACCATCATTACGGTTGGGTAGCATAAATTGCGAAATTCGGTATGTTGCGCCGCTGCAGCATATTGGGACAATTGGGCGGACGCGCTGGGCCCCGAATCCGGAATAAACAATTACGGGGGGGCGGCGATTGCAACATGCCGAGATTGCCAATCACAATACATACTAAGAAATACATGATAGTGGCCTGGGGCCCATACAATGATTAAAAGCAAAAATATACGACAAATTAGAACCACAAACGGCCACTTCTAGCTCGGGAACATACGCCAAATGTACAAAAGGCGATCCGGAAAAGAATGTGTTTGGGCCTACTACACCGCTGGGCCGGGTTTTTTGGCATAGCGGTGCAACGAGCTGTGGCGCGAACTGTTCTGAACTCTGGAGGAGACTTGCCTCAAACATCTCGTGAG